AAATAGATCACGGCTGTGAATCGGTTTGTTTATGAGCTCAGCGCCGAGGCCTGCAAACTCCTGCGTCCCCCGCGAAGTGCGTTTGAGTCTGGCGGTGTCTGGCGGTGTGACGTGGGCCAGTGCTGTGCGGCCTCGTGCGGGCGGCTGGACCTCCCCGGGCCTCGGTTCCCCGCCCATGGAACGGGGAGCAGCACCTGCTGCAGACTGGGTGTCGCCCCGGCTCTAAGCGTTGGGTTTTATCGTCGGCTTGCATCCCCCACTCCCCTTCCCCGGCCACCAGTCTCCTTATCCTCTGAAGTGAGGGCGTAGGGCTTCGAGGTGTCTAATCGCTGCTCCTTTCAGGTCTAAAATTAGAGGTATTTTTAATGAAAACTGGGAACGGAAGTAGTGTCTCTCTGCCATTCTGTTTTGCTGTGAACTGTGGGTCGTAGCAGATATGCAGAGGCCACTGTCACAGACGCTTGGGGGACTGGCCTGGGCTGGCTTGGGTGGTGCGCCAGGCTGTGCCACCCTGACTCTCAGAGGGTGCATGGCAGAGGGTCCCCCTGACTTTGACAGGACAGTCCTTCGGGGTTGCCGAGCTGAATCGTCAGTCTGGAAGCCGCCATCGGCTGGGCCTGGCTGGGAGGGTCCCCACAGAGGATGTCTTGGTTTCAAATGCCTCGGGCCCTGTCCCCTGTCCCTTTACTGACCTCTCTCTCTCTCTCCACCTTTTCTCTCTGCAGCCTTTGCTAGGGAAAGCCTGTTTGTAAGTATATTTCTCTGAATAATTTTGATGCTCGCACCTCCTTCTTGCTTGCCAGTTTGGCTTCCTGCCTGTTGAAACGTCGAGAGTGATGACAGTTTTTGTGCAGTCTGAAGGAGGGAGGGGGGACGAGCGGATTCACGAGTTTTAGCAGAGGACGCAAGAAGCAACTCTGGCCCGGCTGTTTGCTCTGTGTCCCGGCGCTGCCGCCGCTGCAGCTGGCCCCTCCTCGCCCCCTCGGGGTCCTCGGTCGCTGTGGTAGCAAACCTTGTCTTGCCCCCTGGCCTAGCCCATGCCTGCCGCCGCTGACTTGAGGGTGTGTGTCCCCCTGGGAGAGCCCCTTCCATTTTGAGAGGAAACTGAGCCCAAGGCCTAGGCTGCAGCACAGGTAGAGGCCCTGCAGCTTCTCCCTCCTGCTCTGGCTGGGGACCCCCCTCTGGGGGGCTCCAGGACTCCACACTCCAGAGAGGTCTAAATGGAGACCATCGCTCTGGATCAGGTCGTCCCGTGCCGGACGGAACCTGCCCCGTCTTCACGGTCACGTTCAGGAGCGGAAGCGGCCTCCACGTCAGACCCGCTGGGCTTCCCCTTTGCTTTCACTGGAGCTCTCTGCAGAAAGTTCCGGTTAAGTGTCCACTAGAGCGGCTGCTGGTACTGAGCATTTCCGCTGCCCACTACCCCGGTGGTCCCCAACCTCACCAGGAACCACGCGTGGCCTTGTGTTGCTGTTGTAGTCACAGCCACCATGCAGTATCCCCCTCCCCAGCCCGCCGGGCTCCCTGTGGCTGCTCGAGGCACCTCGACTAATTCATGCAGAGGTGGAAAGGGCCTGGGTTCGGCCCGCTAAGCTCAAGCGTGGCTTGTTCTTGGCAGCGTGCTTGGGTTAGACGTCACCCTGTAAGTGAAACGTGTTTTGTCATGCTTTACAGCTCACGGAACACGTGCTTGCCCATGTGCTGTGTCTTTGGTCCTTAAAATGACCCCAGGACGTTGGCAGGGCAGGTACTGTCCCCGTTTATCAGACGGGGGGCCGAGGGTAAGTCGCTTGCCCACAGCGATCCACCCGTCGGTGGCAGAACCGGGACTCGACCGGGTGTCCCAGCCCTGAAGGCTGCCTGCCTCCTCCGGGCCACTGTCGGAACAGCCCGGCCACGTCTACCTGCCCTGTCCAGGGCGCCTGGCGCTCGCGGCCGGCGGGGCACGGCCCGCAGCTGTGTGTTCCTCTTTGGCTCTTGCGGCCTGTCCCATGAGGCTGCTTCCTGGGGCCATGGTGCGTTTACTCACTGCTGGACCTGTCCGTGACATTCGGGCTTCAGGGAGAACAGCCGCTGGAAGGCGGGCCTTGCACACAGAACGTTCCAGATCAGCGGCTCTCCTCATGGGAAGACTCACCTTTGGGTTTGGAGCCTTCCGGTTTTGCACCTGTGCGTCTCCTGCTCCTTATGACCCGGAGCCTGATGTTGCCAGGAGGGAGATCTTCCTGCGCGGAGGGGGCCATTTGGGCACTTTCCCCCCCACTTCTAAGGTTGAACTTGCCTGTCTTCAAGGCTAATGGCACCTTTGGCTAGACTCCCTCCAGTTCAGTCCAGATGTGTTTCCTCTGCACCCTTCACACCTACGTTCCACGGGGGTCCCAGTGTCCAGCCCAGCCCGGGAGCATGAGCCCATGTCTGGGGCTGTGGACCCTAAAATGTCACACCGAGCCTGGTCTGATCTTGGCTCTGTTACCCTCTCTCTTTGGACTCTGGGCAAGATGATGTAATTCTGGGACTTCAGCGTCCTCGCCTTTAAGGTGGGGACAGGAGAGCCATGAGGCGTTTTGATAAGGTGGCATGTGCAGCGTCTCTGGCCCACAGCCTGGGCCGGTGGCCGATGGCTGTTACTGGGGGAGAGGCGTGCCCTGTGACTTGGTGGGCTCGTGCGGCACGTCCACCGTGTTTTGATGCCTCGTGTCCCTTCTGCACAGGCCTGTGGGGTTCCCTTTCGCAAGCAGCAGGAGCACCAAGCGACGGGGGAAGGGAGGCCCCTGGGGTCTTAGGGGCTATGGCCTGAGGGTGCCAGTGATCATGGTTTCCCAGTCAGACGTGGCGCCCTGCAGCCCCCCACCCCCCGTTCCCGAAGTGTCCTTGATTTTCCAATTTCAAATGCGCGCCGTAAAGAAAATACTGCTAAAGATGTGTTGTTTTTCTTTTCCAACATGTTTCTTCCTTTTCCCCCACTATGCTTGAAAGACGAACTGTCTGTCACATTTTCTCAAAGTTTTCTCCTTACTAACCTTGGAAAGGTAAATGGCTCGGTGCATGCCACCCTCTGTCCCCTCCGCATCTCAGAGTCACGGCGCCTCCGCCCTGCGTGGCGCGGGGCGCCCCGTTCTTTGTGGGGACCGGCCATTGTGGAGTATGTGACCCGTACCCCTTGTGCCAGGCGACCTGCGGTCTCCCAGAGCCGCGCCATTGTCTCGGTCCCCTCTCTGGCTTCCTGCTTCCGCTCCGTGTGTGCTGACCGGGGGCCCCGCGAGTGAATGATCCGGCGTAGCCCGTGTCTGTGGTCCTGTGTTGCGTCACATCCGTCTGTGGGTGCTCGGAGCCTTGGTCTTGGCGTATCTGAGGGTGGGTGGCAGCCAGCCGCTGCCGATGGACTCAGCAGCACCTCGCCCTCCAACCCCACTGGTTGGCTGGGTGTCTGTGACCGCGAGGCTGCAGGGCTCCCCAGCGGACGCCGCACTCACAGGGGCACCTGATGTCCTTGTGGTTGGAGGGTTGGCTGGCCCCATCTCCTGGGTCCGGCGGAAAGCGGGCTCAGGGCCGGCGGGAGTTCTCTGCTCTAGAGGCTTCTGCAGCGGGGGCCTGGGTTCTGCAAGGCAGGGTGGGCCGGGGTGAGCCCTGCAGATCTCTCTGCCCACCCCTTTAAGAGAGCCTTGGTGGGACACTCAGAACAGGAGAGAACATTTTTTAAAGCTGTTTCCCTTTCTGGCGGGGCGAATTGAGGAGGTTAAGTAAAGGGACAGCTGCTGTGAGGTGGCAGCCATCATCTGTCCCCAGTTGATTGAAAAACATTTGTTTAAGGGGGTATTGATACTGGCCAGCATCTCGGGGGTGAGGCTTCTGCCTGGATTGCTTTTAATGGCACTTTCCGGGGCGGGGGCGGCCTTGGGGCTCCGAAGGGCCGTGGGCCGAGGGTCCCTTGCGTGCCCGCCGCAGCGCCGCCTGCTCTGCCCCCTGCCCTCCCCGCCTGCTGCAGGCAGGAGTCAGGCTCTCTGCTGCGAGGCCCTGCGCCAGCGTGACCCCGGGCTCACCCTCCGTGGTCCCGGGTGACCGCACCTGTTTGGGGGGCGGAGCTGTCCCCGCGTGCTCTGTGGGGGCGGGGGAGGGGTCGCATGGCTTTAGACCCCCTGCATGGGAAGCCTGGTCCGCAGCGAGAATAACTCCCCTCCCCCGCCCTCTTCTCTCCCGCACCCAGGACGTGAAGGGCCCCCCGAGCAGCGCGGACCCCTCGCGGACGCAGTGAGGCGGACCCTGCATCCCGCCGTTTCCCGCCCGCAGCTTAGGCAGCACCTCCACCCGCCCGAGGCCGGCGACCCCCAGGACTTCCCCCCAACGGGGTCGGACAGCGTGGAAGAGGGGCCTCGGGTCAAAGAGAACCCCTGCCCCCCAGACTGTCGGCCGGGAGACCCCAGGACGCCTCTCCCGTGCGCATGTGCAAACGCAGCCCCAGCCGCCTCCCCACCCCACTCTCCCCGTCCCCCGCTGCCCCCGCCTTCCGGCCTGGGGCCTCCCCGACCCTCCACGAGGCCTGGGGGGGTGAGAGAGGCCCCGAGGAGGGGGTCTCAGGGGCCTCTGTGCTGTTCTGCTCCATTTCTGGGATCCTGGCCTGGAGTGTTCCCACTGGGTGACGCCGGCCCCGGGGCCTGGATCCCGGCTGCCCAAGGTCCACGCTGTTGAAGGCGGCCCCGGGGCTCGCGGGGGAGCACCT